AAGCAAGGCTGACAAAATACTATGTTCAAGCTTCTAGAAAAAAAAAATCAATATGAGCTCAACTTCTCAAAACTGTGGGACATGATCAAGAGACTAAGCGTCCAGGAGATAAACACTAAAAGCATAAAGAATCTTTTTAATGGAGTTAGAGTAAAAAATTACCCAGACTTTTGGAAATCAACATTCAAACACAAGAGATGTTTGAAACCAAAAAGACACATAAACAGAGAACTTCCTCAATACTTATTATAGTCAAGACATTGAGAGTCCAAATAGAGCAAAGCAATGTTAAGAACTGTAAAGAAAAGCATCCACTCACCTTCACAGGCAGAAACTGAAAGAATAGCCAGTCTTATCAGCAACCCTATGATGCACTTAAAACCCTGAAAGCAACTGCCAATGAGACTACTCTATCCAGCACAGCTATCTTTTTAAAAATGAGAGTTAAACAAGGGTGTTTTGCGAGAAGCACAAGCTAAAGCAGTCCATGACCACCAAGGCAACAAGAGAGAGCACTACACAGAGGAAGAAGACAGTATGATGCTCATGAGGACACTCCATTACAGAAGAGAAGCACACAACTAGAAAGGAGGTCTTCCTTTCCAACACAGCAAACCAGCAAACTCCACATACCAGGAGAGAGGAGCACAGAAGTATTAATCCAAACAACCAGGGGGAAGGACAGCAGAATTATAGCAACAAATAAAACCTCTCATTAACAACCTTAAATGTAAATGGCCTTGACTCACCAATATAGAGAAAGAGCAGCTGAGCTGGCGGTTAAAAGAACTGAAGGGCAAACATTACTATACATTCCAATGAAACACAGAGAATCATATTCAAGCTAGAAAATCCAGAAGAAATAGATAAATTCCTAGGTACATATGGCCTAACAAAATTAAACCAAGAAGATACAAACAACCTAAAAAAATTACAATGGAGAGTGATGGAATAATTAAAATAAAATACATATATACATATATGCCTATACATACATACACACACATACACACACATATACATACAGACACACACACACACACACACACACACACACACACACACATATATATACAATATATATATTGCAACATAGACTGGATGATTCACTGACAATTCTACCAAACCTTTATGGAAGAGCTGATACAATCTTCCAAAACTGAGAAGCAGGAATAGAGCCAACCTCATTCTAGAAGGCCAGAATCACCACCACATCAAAAAAGCATATGACATCACAAACAGGCACAAACACCTAGAGGCCAATGCCTTGAATGAACACACTTGCAAAAAAATGATCAATAAAATCCTTACAAAACAAATTCAAGACCATGTTATAATCAGCCACCATGACTGAGCTGGTCTCATCCTATGAAGCTGGCTGAATGCGCTTGAGTCAGTAAAGAGTCATAGAGCATACAAATGACTTGGAACAGAAATTGCAGAGACAAAGCCTCCAGCAGGCTGAACTTCCCTTCACAAAAAAATGCAAAGAAATAAGAATAGCAATACTATCAGGCTGTATAAAACAAGCCTGCAATCAGCATTACACTAAATGAGGGGAAACTGAGAGCATTTCTTCCAAAATTTGGAACAAGGCAAGGGTGCCTACTCTCTCCACTCTATTCAACAAAGTGCTCAGAGCCTTGGTTAAAACAATAACACAAGAGGAGGAAACACACAAAAGTAGAAAAAGAAGTCAAAATGTTCCCATTTGAAAAAAAAAAGAAAAAAAAAAGCAAAGGCAGAAGCGTTCCCTGTATTTAGAGGACCCAGGACTAAGAGAAAACTCTCATTACATTGCAATGGCCAGCAACGTTGAAGCAGACACAACCAGCACAGGAAGGTCAGCAGCCTCTCCAGGTGTCAATAACCGAATTTGCCAAGAGAATAAGCAGGAAACTACCCCATTCATAGTAACTTCAAAAATAAACAAACAAACAAATAAATAAACGCCTAGGGATAAGCCTGACCAAGGAGATCAAAGGCCTCTACATGAAAACTTTTAAGAGACTGAAGAAATTAAAGACAACACTGTAAGACTGAAGGGCTTCCACCTTTATGGGTTGACAACTGTAAAAGTAAACACACTACCAAAGGTGATCTACAAAGTCAACGCACTCCCCATCTTCAGAGAAAATTCCAGTACCAACCTTCACAGAAACAAAAACAATCCTAAAATCCACACAGAAGTACAAAATGACCCTGAGGAGCCAAACCAATCCTTAGCAGAAGAGCAAAGGTGGAGACACAAAGTTATCGTAACAAATGCAACCTGGGCATGGGCATAAATACAGGCCTGAAAATGAGCAGAACCAAATTCACAAACCATGTACAACAGTTATGACAGTGGCAAAAACCAGACTAGAAAAAAAGACAGCTGTCATGCTTTAAATGAGAACAGTCCCCATGGGATCATATATTAGAATACTTGGTCCCCAGTTAATGGAACTGTTTGGGAAGTATTAAGAGGCATGGCCATCTTAAAGGAGGTATTATGTCACTGGGGGTGGGCTTTCAGGTTTTGAAAGTCCACACCATGTTCCGTTAGCTCTCGCTCCTCATGGCTGTGCTCAAGATGTGATCTCTCAGATAACCGATCCAGCACCACGCCTGCTGTCATATTCTCCAATATGGTCATAGGCTCTCTGAAACTTTAAGCCCCAAATAAACTATCTTCTAGAAATGATCTTGAATGTGATGTTATCACAGCAACAGAAAAGCAACCAAGGCAACAGCCTTCTGAACAGTGTTCTGGAGAATCTGGGTTCCCAAATCTAGAGAGAAACATCTACTTCTCACAGCTGGCACAGAATCCATCAAATAGGTCAAAGGCCTGGACAGGATACCTGAAGATTTGGAGAACTAGAGGAAGGTGCTTCTGGAAGCACTGCATAGGCAAGGATTTGCTGAAGAGGATGGAACAGCATAAGAAATAACTCCAACTGGCAAACAAGACTACATAAAATTAAAGTGTTTGCGTGACAAAGGAAACAATCACCATAGCCTTCAAAGCCATCTAGAGAAAGCTGCTCCTCTGAAAGAGCCTAGGCTCAGTTTCCAGCACCACAGAAACCTAAGTCTGCTGTTTGTGGTTTTGGTTTTGGCTGTTTTTTTTTTTTTTTGTTTTTGTTTTTTTATCTAAACACTATAAAGACTTTTTATATTAAACATGAAAAACAAAATCATCCACTCAGTAAACGGTATAATGAACCAAAAACATAGTTCTCAAGGAAGAAATACAAATGGCTAATAAATACTTAAAAGGGTGTCTGGGGACCCATATAGTGGAGGGAGAAAACTCCTACAAATCACCCTCTGACCTAAACAGCTGTACTGTGGACCAGTACAACACCCCTCGCACATGCAAAATAATTAAACAAATGTAATTTTTTAAAAAGAAAGTATCTGGTATCCTTAGCCACCAGGGAAGTATAAATTAAAGCTGCTCTGAGATTATTATCTTACCCCAACACGAATAGCTATTATTAGAAAACAAAAAACAAACGTTGACAGGAAAGAGGAACCCCTTTTACTGTTCAGAAATGTAACCATGTCCAGTAGCTGTGAAAATCAGTACGGACATCCCTCAAGAAAACTAAAACTAGAGGTACCGTATGAGCCAGCCAGACTGCTCCTAATCAACACACTTATATAAGGAATTTTATGCATCTGATAAAACAGATGCAACTGGAAATCATTACATTAACTACAATCAACACAACACAGAAAAAGATACTGGTGTATACATGGAACCTAGGTTTAAAACTGTTTTTAGATATATATATATTTATAAATATATAAACATATGTGCAGTCACAAAACTAGAAAGGAAGAGGGATGACAAGCAATAAGATAGCAAAAAAGAACAGGAGCTCTACAAGGAGAGCAACAGAACCAAAAAAGCTGGGTCCAGGGTTCTTTTCTGAGACTGATGCTCCAACCAAGGACCATTCATGGAAATAACTTAGAACCACTGCACAGATGGTTCTAGGTTATGCAGCTCAGTCTCCAAGCGGATTCCCTAGTAATGGGAAAGGGTATGTTCTCTAACATGAACTCAGGGGCTGGCTCTTTGATCACCTCCCCCTGAGGGGGGAGCAGCCATACCAGGCCCTAGAGGAAGACAATGCAGCCAGTCCTGATGAGACCTGAGGGACTAGGATCAGAGGGAAGGGAAGGAGGACCTCCCCTATCAGTGGACTTGGGGAGGGGCATGGGAGATGAGGGAGGGAGGGTAGGATTGGGAGGGGAGTAGGGAGAGGGCTACAGCTGGGATACTAAGTGAATAAATTATAATAAAAATATTTATTTAATGTTTTGTGCTTTAAAGATAATGAATCCTCACAATCCTACAATATTTGCCTTGTGTGATTTTGCTTTGATGCTTCTTTTTGTAATCACATTTTAATGATAGTATATATTATTATATCCTTTCCCCATGTGGTTGAAATCTGGTTATGTGACACACACACAACACAAAAAAGGATAGCAGAAAAGAGGACCCACTGAGGGAAGCACTAGAACCAGCGAGAGGTGGAAGCAAGGACAGAGGAAGACAGGGGTAGGAAAACAAGGGAGAAAAAGGTATGTCACAGAGGTGTGAAGATGTCATGATGAGGAAGGTCACTTTGCATGATAATCTGAAAAAAAATAATTTAAAATTAAATTAAATATATTAAATATATTAACTAAGACGTTAATCAATAAATGCATTTGTGTCTAAAAAGGGAAATAAAATACAGCCACGTACCAGAGGTAAGCGCTTCACCGCAGCCAGGTACTGTAGTAGCCCCTTAGCGTGGTAAATCGTAGGGTGTAAATCTGGGTTTGGACTTTGCCACTGTCTGTTCAAATCCTCTCCACTTAAGGAGCAGCGGTGACTACATACACACATGAAGAAAAGACAAGTCCACAGAGCATCCTATACACTTCTGACACTTATTCCAGTAAGGATTCAAGTAAATGCAGATGGGGCTCAAGTGAGCATATATCATATTCTTTAAGTAAACTCACATCCATCATTTGCTTTGTGTGAAATCTTATGCCACATTTATGTAACAATGGTGATTTAAATTTAAAATAAACTTTTGTAAGCTATAGAAAAATAAGTTGTCAATTCAGGCCTTCTCTACTTTATAAAACTTATTAATAGAGCTATTTTCTATTGATTAAACAGCAATCATTTGCTATACTAAGTTCCTCTGTACGCTGGTGCATCTATTGTCTCATACATGCGCTGATCCCTCCATCTGAGAAAGGCAAATACATGAACATTGTGTCGTCTTGAACACCTGTAACTAGGCTGTCGTTTGTTCACAGGAGCTGTGTGCTAATGTTATGGAGCACAGCATAGCCTACCGCCACACGACGACAAGGAACCAAGACTTGCATATTAGGAGCTCACGTCCTGACACAGCTTTCTGAGACAATTCAAAACGACTTTATGAAATTACATTCTCATGTAATCATAACACTGACACATGCATTTAAAAGTTCATCTTTGATGAATTACCCACCAACACTTGATTTCTTCTAGAAAAAAGAAACATCAAAGTCATCTTCTGAATTAACTTGAATGCTATTACAGCAACAAATTTATATGTAGCCACCAAAACAACCTATGACATTTCTCTAAGAATTGCTTAACTTACTTTCCATTGATGACACCGTCTGGATTTAGCATAGGGACAATTTTAAAAATGTAAGACTCCCGCAAGCTCTGGGCAGTAGGGTTGTTGCTCATGAGGTATTCCAGTGTTCCTTTCATGACCCAACTTGCATTAGTTTCTCCAGGATGTACCCGAGCAGACAAGAAAACATAAGGGCGGTTTCCTAAAGTGTAAACAAAATTTCAATGAAAATGAACAGCTACTGAAAGCTTGAATGACGTTGCATTTTGGGTTCTAGAAATGTTCTAGAATTTCAATGGAAAGTTACTGTGCACACTCTGCATAAGTCCTAAGGAGAAAACTACAGAAAATGCATGCAAGCTGCCACACCAAGGAGCTTATAATATGAACATATACACAGTTTAACAATGTACAGGGCTGGAACCACTTGCTTATTTTCTAATGATTGATCTAACTTGAAAAAAGTTCTTAAGTGGAAACACAGTTTTACAAAGACTATCACTTGGGCAAGTTTAAAATATGAAACTGTGTTTCATAAACTCATGGAGAAAAGGAAGCTATTTAGCATCTACACCTATACCGCAGCACAGAGGAACAGCATGCTACACAGAGCAGCAGCGGAGTCACAGTGCACTCAGAGGCTACGGTCCCACAACTCAACGCCTGTGTCCATGCACAGCATCTCTCCATTTGTAATTTCAAACATTTATCAAAAGTTGAACCGTGCTCTTATTTTACTACCTCAGCTGCAAAACTGAGGTAATTTAAAATTTTTAAATGGTAGAGAAAAAACAAGCAGCTATTTAGTACTAGCTATCAAAATATTTGAACTCTAAAAATACTACTGTAAAAATACTACTGTAATTTCTAGAAATAAGAACTAAAAAATATGACTATCAATGGAGCGTGGGGGGAAATCTGAGATGACCCCTTCACATTCCAGAGGAACATAGGTGGGTCTGTGGCCAGGAGGTGGGCCAAGACTTCCAAATCTTCTTATGGCTGCTCTTAGTATTATTTCTATCATAAAATACACAGAAAGCACACACGAGTGAGAACGCTTGATAGTGTGAGTGAAGAAGACAGACTTACTGAATTGACAGATGTGCTCATAGTAGTTAGACTCTGGCATTGCCGTTATGGTCACCAAGGGACAGCTGTTTCCAGACAAGGTCTCACACAGCACATCTCTTCGAAAGTAAATCTGCTGGGGATTGTGGGCTGACTCAAGCTTTTGAAGATGCATCTTGACAAAAATTTAAAAACAGAATATATCATCATTTTTAAATTTTGGTGTATAGAAACAATGTATCTAAAGATCTACAGAACCAAAAGTAAAACCAGTTCTTAAAATAAGAGTTTTAAGGCCTCAGGGCCAAATAAAATACAAGTATCCGCATGTAAGGAGACAGGTGCCGCCACGAGTTACACACCACACCAACAGGCTTACCCTACCTGGAATCCAAAGTTAGCACAGGTGGAATCAGTATTCTAAATAAGCTCACATAAATCCAGCTCAGGCTTTGCTGTCTGTCTGAGCAGTGAAGAAAGCATTTGGTTTTTAAAGCCTTTAGAATTTTGGAATTATAACTAATGTCACATAATGGCCAGCTAAAATTACAAAACATAAATTATGAATGATTTCTTCTGACTTAAAGATTATATATATTTATTATTACTTTCCAAGAATGAAGAACCTCAAAACAGAATTTACTAACTCATAAGGACCAGGCTATAAGGCTGAACTCAGTCCAGAAAGGCTTCTAACGGCACCCTCTACTGAACACCGCATCACCTCTGCTCATAGGACAGGCCCCACTTCTACTCATGTGGGTCCAGTTTCTTTCCTGTATTTGACCATCCCTTCAACACCCTTTGCCTTAGGTCAGATGCTTTGCTGCAAGAATAAATGGAATTTAATAAAAATAAATAAATAAACAATTAAATAGATAGATAGATAGATAGATAGATAAATAGATAAATAAATGAGTAAGTAAAATAAATAAAGGAATAAATGGAACACAGTTGGCTGTTTGCTCACTTCAATTATTTATTCAGTCTGCTACAATACAAACATTCAGCGATCCCACAGCTCTTACATATACATTCTAAGGAGCTGGAGTCTCAGATTTTAGAATGAACCTATTTCCTTTGCCAAAATTTAATTTTCCTACAGAAAAATTCAAAATGTAGATTAATTTCCCTACTGTTAAAATCTTCTACAAGGTTTATATTTATATTGTAGTACTTTCAGTTACGCAAACTGAAATCTCAGTTAAAATATATTCACAGAAAGTTGGAGAAGTATCAATTTCTGCAAATGATAAGTGAAATATGTAAATTCCCTTCCTTCTTTTCTAAAATTGTTTTTCATTTGTGGAAGCATGGAGTGGACATGTGTACACACTTGTGTGAGTGCATGTGAGGGCAGACACTGACATGGGTGTCAAGCATTGCTTCTCTACTTCTTTCTTTTCTAAGACAGGGTCTCTCACCAAACCTGAGAAAAGCACCCAGATCCAGCTGCCTTCACCCCTGGCACTGGGGTTCAGAAACTCACTAGACTATGTCTGGGTCTTCTGTGTGGGTGCCACAGATTCTAACATGGGTTCTCACACTTGTGCAAGGAACACTTTATCCACTGGGCCATGCCCAGGCTTTCAGCTACTTCATCATCACATTCCCACCTGTCATGTTTCCAACAAATACAACCTTCCCCTGTTCGATTGGTATATTTAAGCCGAAGCAACTTTTCTCCAGTTTTCTGATACTCATAATACAAACTGAGATTCATCAGTTTACAACCAGGATCTCTCACCTGAAGAGTTGAATATGTGTATGGATAGTGATAGGCAAAATAGCACACATCATCTTTATGTGGAAAGTTCACAGTGAACGTGATTGTGTAGTAGGACTTTCCCTTCTGTCCACCAGCAGCAACTGAACTTCTTGAGAAGTGATTTCTGCAATTGAAAAGAATAAAGCACTTTATTTTGCCTGCACAGATATTCTGATTTTCCTTTGCTAATTTTATTAAGTAGAATTTCAGACAGAAAAAGAAAAGCCCAGTTTAGCTGAACTGTTTAATTCAATAGACACTGTTTTAGTTACTTTCCTATTGCTATGAAAAGACACCTTATAGAAGAAAGGCCACTTATAGAGGAAAGAGTTTATCTGGGGCTCATAGTTGCTGGTTGAAATTCATCCTGCTATGACCATTACAGCAGGAGCACAGCACCAGGCAGGCAGGCAGGCACGGGGCTGAATCAGCAGCTCACAGTTAAGCCTCACAAGCATGAGGCAGAGAGAGAAAACAAACTGGGGGTTGTATGGGCTTCTGAAACCTCGAAGTCACACACTTCCTCTAACAAGCCCACACCTCCTAATCCTTTCCAAACAATTCCACCAACTAGGGGCTAAGTGTTCAAACACATGCGCTTATGGCCTATGGGGACTGTGCTCCTCCAAGCCACAAGGCACACTACAAAGGCTATTCGGTCTGCGCCATCATCTGGCAGCACTACCCTCTTCTCTAGCGGGAACACACTGCACATGAAGCGCATGCTCTCCACGTGATTGATTCTGACCTCAGTTTACCTCATCTGTGATAGCTCCCTACATCAGACCACAGGCTGAGGAACATGTTCAAGGTAGGTAGGTCAGAACACCTAGCACTTCACCATAATTAGCATTAAGAGTAAAAGCAGAAATAGCCAGAAAGGACGCGTTTCCTAATGTGTTGTAATGCGGAATGAGGGAAATCTGCAGCATCACAGATGCAGCGCTCTTGACAAAAGCACACCTAAAGTTGATTAAGCTTTACATCTGACAGTTTGCAAAGACCCAATAAGATATATTTGTTAACAGCAAGGATTCAATCCACAAAAGACAAATGTAAAAGTCCTATATGAGAAACCAGTTTAACAAGAGCAATCAGAGAAAAGGAAAACCTGTTGATAAAAACTATTAAAAGACAAATTAACATAAATTGTGACATGTGATGAACAAGGGAGATCAGCAGCAACCAATAGACATTTCTAACCTGAAATACTTTGTAGAGTATGATTTTTCTATGACTGCTCCTTTCTGCTAACAGTCCTACAAATAAATCTCTTTCCAGCTTTTATATTTAAAAAATGTAATTTGGATCTTTCATCAAACCTAATAGAAAAAAAGAAACCTAAATAGCAACCAACATTTATATGGTACCTAAGGAAATCTGAACACTAACTAGATTATAGGAAGGGATTTTCTTAATTTTTCTGCTGTATGATAATGGCAAGGTGGTTAAATCGTCTTAAGGGGTCTTTAAGTTTAAAGATAAGTATTTCTGGGCAAAATATGGCATCTGAGAATTGTTTTAAAAATTCAGCATGGGGCCCTCCATAAGATGGCTAGGTGGCTGATGGCACATCCTGTCAAACCTGACAAGCTAACTTCAGTACCCAGAATCACATTGTGGGAGGAAGGAACCAAATCCCAAAGTTGTCCTTTGACCTCCACACTCAAGCAGTGCAGGCATCACCCTCCAACACCTGCCCCACAATACAAATAAGTAAACACAGAGAAACTTTCTACAAATCAGCATGGAAGTAGGGGCTCTGGAATGCACAAACAGAACTAACCCCATGATGGTGACTATTTACAAAGGGCAGTGACACACAGAACAACACCCTGTCCAGGGCTTTCTAAGGTTTTAAAGACTTTAAGGATCACTGACATTGGCCTGTAGGCCACAGAGGAAGACAATGCAAGCAGTCCTGATGAGACCTGATAGGCTAGGGTCAGAGGGAAGGGGAGGATGACCTCCCCTATCAGTGGACTGGGGAAGGGGCATAGGTGGAGAAGAGAAAGGGAGGGTGGGATTGGGAGGAAAAGGATGGGAGCTACAGGTGGGATACAAAGGGAGCAAACTGTAATTAATAAAAATAAAATATTAAAAAAATAAAAAATAGTAAAAAAAAAAAAAAGATACCCTTTGACTTAATTTCTGAAGTTCTAAAACCTCTTGAAAAAACAGGGATTACAGGTCATTTATTCATACAATTACATATTCAAGTTATTAACTTCATCACTGTATTTTGAGTGGGCAGGTAATGACACATGCTAAGAGCTAAGGAACATACAAAACAGGCTCAAGAAGGAAGCCTTGTCTACTTTTTCTTCCCTGAATTGACAGCTAACCAGAGAAGCACATATGCATGCCATCATACAGCAGTTCGATGAAAGTTACAGGCTATGAATAAACAAGACATGCATGTTGACAGAAGGCAACTCTGCTCTGTTTATAACCAACTCAACAGCCTCCAATCTAAAGATCTGATTTCAGACTTCTAGAGAGCAAACACAACAATGTATGCAACATATGAAGTGGTAACCAGTGAACACTAAATTGCAAGAAATTGCCGTCTCATCTGGAAGTAGACAGAGAAAAAGCAAAAAAAAAATTAAATAAAACAAAAACTTCTTTTATCATTCCTCATACAGAACAAAACAACTTAAATCATGCTATGGTCTTTGCAATGTGAAAAGAGTTGAAATGTAGAGAAGCATGTTTAATATTTAATAGCCTGAGCAATTCTTCCAAAACCTAGCCCACCACTGTCCACATCAGCACCGTATCACTCCAGTGACAGGTGATCCAGGAGCACTTTCCTACAGACCTCGCATTAAAAGCACTACAGCAATGTACAGTAGAGATCAGGGTACACATTTCCTTTGTTTGTGTTACTTAGTTTGCTAACAAAAAGGCGGGAATGGAACCTTACTGAGATGAAGCCCATTTCTTCCCTAGAAAGTAACAGCATTTAAGACCTAGGTTTTTCCAAAGGGAGCATAAATGGTTAGGTCAGTTTAAATTCTAGAAGGCGTCATCTTCCCACAAAGATTCAAGGGATGAGACATCAGTGCTAGTTAAGAACAACATCTAAAGTCAAAATCCACTTTATGGGGAATCCAGACTAATAGGACAGAAACTGGCATCCAACAGAGATAAACACCATGACCAAAATTACAAACATACAAAATCTTGTGTGACTGATGGGAAATTATCATTTAAAAAATAGAATTTAAAAAAATAAATAAAAATTAAAAAAAATAAAAATAATTTATTTTTATTTTGGGGGAGGCTACAAGGGCAGAGGACAATTATAAAAGGATAGGGAGATGAGTGGGATTGGGGTACATGGAGTAAAATTCACAACAAATAAAAAGTTAAAAATAGAATTTTAAATGTTTAGTTTAGATGCAGGTTTTTCAAACCTGAGCACTTCGTCTACTATTTAGCATTTATGCTCCAAGAGAAGACCACAAGGAAAATGAAATCTCACATGAAACCACCAGTGAGCTCCAGTTAAACAGGCCTACGCCGTCATGCAGTACACAGCAAAAGGCGTTCTCTAAGCGAATGAAGAAGGCATTCTATCAGTAAAGAGACAGGAGGTACAGAGTCCATGCTGTGAAACTGCAAGTCTCTGCCACAGTGTGAAAGGCTGGACAGAATTATCAGTCAGACACTTACATGGTTTAAATTCTACGAGTTTAATCTGAAAGTAGTATGCATTAGTAAAGTATTTCTGAAAAGACAGCAGCAAACTGTAATCACGGGTCCTTCTATCAAGGAAAGGTATGACTTACAAAACAGCCTTTCCAGTTGTGAAATAGTAAATCGCACCTTCCAGCACTCCAAGCACAGGAGCGCAGGAAGCCAAGGGCAAAGTGCTCTCAAGGGCCCAGCATTAGCACACCAAGGATAAAAGGAGAACTGGGTTGAGGACGAATGATGTAAAGAACTGCTGCCAACTATATAGATGTGAGATGCAAGAGTCATGTTCCTAATGTGTTCTTGTAGGAAACAAAATGAGCATTATAAAAATATAGTGGAGGCTATCTGGGAATAGTTTACATATATAATTAGAATTAAAACGGGGAGCAAGGACTAAGGATTCTGGACTGTTTAGAAGTGAGGCTGAAGTCACAAACAGGACATCTATATCATATACACCACACAGGCTCAGGGACCACATCAGAAGAGGAGGAAGAAAAGATTCTAAAATCCAGGTCAGGAAGGACCAGACTGAAACAGTGACTTCAGGATACAACAGGGCTGCTGCACTCATGACTTCACAGAGCTGAGAATGCCTGCAGTCAGCAGGGCAACAAGCCTCCACTCCCATCAGGAGAGCCAAGGACAGTCAGTGGCTTCTGGATAAGACAGAGTTGGTTTGCTTTAATGCTGTGGCCCCTAATTGGTCAACCACAGATGTCCCCACACACAGGTATATGGGCAGCACAAATTGGACTCTGCGGTTTTTAAAAAGAGGAAAAGGAGGAAGAGACAAAGTTAAGGGCGTTAGGGAGACAGGAATAAAATTGGGAGGAGTTAGAGGAAGGAGTAGGGGTTGACTAGGATCAAAATACATCGAATAAAATTCCCAAAGAGTTAATAAAAATTAGGGCTACTACTGCTGTGTTAAAACACCATGAACAAAGTAACTAGGAAGGAAAGGATTTACTTGGCTTACACCTTCACAGCATCGTTCATCATTGAAGGAAGTCAGGGCAGGAATGTGGAGGCAGGAGCTGATGCAGAGGCCATGGAGGGGTGCTGCTTCCTGGCTTGCTTCCTACGGCTTGCTCAGCCTGCCTTCTTATAGCCCCAGGACCACCAACCTTAGGGATGGCACTGGCCACAATGGGCTAGGCCCTCCCACATCAAATCACCAATTAAGAAAAGGACCTACAGGCTTGTCTGCAGTCCAGCATTATGGAGGCATTTTCTCAATTGAGGCTCCCTCTTTTCCAGTGGCTCAAGCTTGTGTGAGCTAACATAAAACTAGCCAGCACACATATGAAGTCGGTTTTCGTCAGTACACTGAAACACTAGCACACTCCCTCCTATGAGCTTCTGTAAGAATACTTACTTGTAGTAACAAATGTCAGTGCCCGTGCGGATCCACCATGGTCTGGAGTTCAGAGCCTCCTGAACTGAGTACATAAGTGGCTGCATGCCTTTGAGAGAGGAAGAAGAGAGAGAACATTCTTTTCAGAGCTGTTTGTGTAAAGATGAATCCTGCCTTTCTAAAAAGCACCAAAATTTCAGGAAAACTGAATATACTGCATTTCATTATTTTAGGGTGTATTGGAGAAATCTGAGAGATTTCTTAAATTATAACTTAACCAATAATATCCTGTTTAAAATTCAACTAAAATGGGGTAAGTTAGGTTGAATGGCTACCAATTCTTTTCTGTTAAATTATATGTATTCGGTTAATTAAAATAATTTACTTCTTGTAAAAAAGTTAAATAGGCAAATATAATGAAGAAATCATGAGAAGCTAGGGAGACAGCCAAAGCATGAGGCTCCCCCAGAACCCATGTGGGCAGCACATGTATAATCCCAGCACTCTCAGATGAGCAGGAAGCTCATCCAGAGAACCTGGCCAGATTAGTGCCCACAACAAAGACAAGACCCTGCCCTAAGCAAAAGTGAGAGTAAAGGCAAGAGCCTGAGACCACCCTCAGCTCCACAAAGGCACCACAGTGTGTAGACATGCACGTGCACACACATGCACACACGCACACACACACACCACACACACACACACCACACAATGAGCTACACTCCTCTATTTCTCCATAGGGTCTCACAAGCAGTGAGAAAAGCCACACAAATTTACATTTGTTTCCATTCCTTCTCCACAAAAGTATTAACAAAGGCTGTGTCCTGGCTAGTCGTATGTCAACTTGACACGAGCTAAAGTCATCAGAGAGGAGGGAGCCTCAATTGAGAAAATGCCTCCATAGGATCCAGCTGTATGACATTTTCTTAATTAGAAATAGACTAGGGAGGACCCAGCCTATTGTGGACGGTACCATCCCTGGCTGGTGGTCCTGGGTGTTATAAGAAAGCAGGCTGAGCAAACCATATGGAGCAAGCCAGTAAGCAGCACCCTCCATGGCCTCTGCATCAGCCCCTGCCTCCAGGTTCCTGCCCTGTTTGAGTTCCTGTCCTGACTTCTTCAATGATGGACTGTGATGTGCAAGTGTAAACCAAATAATCCAAACAATCCCTTTCCCTGCCAAGCTTGCTCCCCCCACCCCAAGACAGGGGTCCTCTGTATAGCCTTGGCTGTCCTGGACTCAATTTGTAGACCAGACTGGCATTGAGATTCACCTACCTCTGCCTCCCGAGTGCTGGGATTACAGGTATGTGCAATCATGCCCAGCACCAACTTGCTTTTTGGTAATGGTGTTTGTTTCCATTCCTTCTCCACAGAAGTGTTAACATAGGCTTGTAATAGCAACAGAAACTCTGACTCTAACTCATAGCAATAGAAACGCTAACTAAGACAGCTGGGAACTGATAATGAAAATGTTAAATATACAATGTACTTTCCTGGATACTCTCAGAAACATGCTTTTCAGGTGAGCATTAAAATCACATTACTTGGCCAGGCACAGGAGAGACAGACACATGCATATCTGTGTTCTAGGCCAGCATGGTCTACACAGTGAGACTTGCCTCCCTCTAACCTCCAAATGAAAACCATATAATCATCTCATTTCACTCCGTAACCTGATACACTAGACTTTTTGGCTATAATGGATAAACTCATATGTTAATTTTGTAAATACTGATGGCTTTTACTGAGATTGGGCTTGAATTTAAATTCTGCCGTCAGACAAAATCATTCTCTGGGTGTAGGAATATTTCATTAAATATACCTGCATTTTATAATGCTTTCTTTCCCTTTCTAACTGGCTCTTTCAATGCTGTTTGATGCTCACCTTAAACACACATACACCAACCCACAACAGCTATGCTCCCTCCTGGATCTCCGAGGTGAATTATCCTACTGTGTGCTCCTTAGACAGAGGCCCTCCTATGGAACTTACTGTTATTTTCTATTTTTATTGCATTTCAGGAAATCACCTCAAACGCTGATGATGAATATACTGATAATGACAAACAACTGGTTTCTCATAATCTTAATAAAAATGTTACATACTACTCAATGCAATATTGGCCAAATTTCTCAAATCAATTCTGTCATGTATAATACAAGAGATAGTGAATGATCTCTATGTGCCAGACACTGCTGTTTTTAGACATATAAAAATAGTCACTATATCCTTTCAACCACCCACCCGAGATGTTAAGTGCTATTAATTTCATAATTTGAATAATTTCACCAGAACTATGACTACATTTAAAAGTTAGAATCATTTTATTCAGGGTCTTTCAGCACCATCGACAGAAGAGCAGGGCTCCCCTCACAGCACTGATGGGCATGCTGTAAGGCAGAGGCTTCTCCCTGAGAGCTGTTCTTTCACAGTGGCTTGTTAAAACCGGCTTTCTTTACAATTCTGCACCTAGAGTCTTAAGTTGCTTCTTAGACTTACTGTGCAGGAGTCCCTCAGCAGGCGGCAGCAGGCCAGGAGCACCTGACGCAGATGCTGACAGTCCTGCAGGAGCACTGAGCTTGCTCAGTCACTGAGCATCTCTCCTGCCCCGTAAGTCAGTCCTTCTAAAAAGTACAGAGACTATGCAAGGCTCAGAAAAGTAAACTCAAAACCATTTGATTATCTTCATCATTTGCTAGAATAAATAACAAAAATCTAATCTAGTTTTACAAGGTTAACTACTTGCCCTTTTCTTTGTTTGGTTTTAATTTTTATATTTTCCTTTTAAATTTTTTCAGTGTGCACTGGTGTTTCATTTTATGTGCTGTGTGAGGGAGTCATATCCCCTGGAACTGGAGTTACAGAAAGTTGTGAGCTGCCATGTGGGTGCTGGGAATTGAACCATGGTCCTCTGGAACAGCAACTAGTGCTCTTAACGACTGAGCCATCTCTCTAGCCCTGGTTTGGTTTCTTAAAGCAGAGTCTCGTGTAGCCCAAGCTGGGCTTCTACTTTCCACTTCCTGGCTGCTAAGCTGAGACTGTAGAAATGTACCACCACCCTCGGCTTTCAATATTTCAACCGTTTATAGCCTGTTTACATTTCTACTTTGGGAGGACTAGAGAGATGGCTCAAGAGTCATGAGCGCTGACCGTTTTCAAAAGGACCCAGGTTTGATTCCCAACATTTACATGGCAGCTCACAACCATCTGTAACTCAGTTCCAGGAGATTCTTCTGACCTCCAGTACCTGGCATGCATGTTCTGCACATACAAACATTCAGGAAAAACACCCAAACACATACAATTAAAAAAAAAAAAATCTTGATTTTACATTTGGGGACTGGTTAGACAGCTCAGTGAGAAAGATCACTTGTTGCACAAGCATAAGGGTCTGAGTTCAAATCCCCAGCACACATGTAACAAGCTGGTGTGGCTATCTATGTGCCTATAAACACACCACTAAGTGGGCTCAGACAGGACCCCTCCGGCTCACTGGCTGCCACCTTGCTCCAGGTTCAACGAGAATCCTGTCTCAAGGGAATAAAGCAGCGTGTTAGCAGGATTAACATCCTACTCCTTTAGCCTCATGAATGCACATGCTCGCACACACATTCACACCTACCCACCCACACCACACATATACACTGATACCTACCCACCCATATCATACACCACACACCACACATACACACGTCTTTTTTCTAAACATTGTATTTGTGTGTTTTCCTTAATTTGGGTCTAAATATTTTCCACAATTTGTTTTCATTAATTCCCTTCCTTCTCTTTGGTTTATTTCCTTCTCTTATTTCTGACATTGGATACTTACTTTCAGTTTTTTTCTTATTTCAAAGAAAACAATCATTTCAGTTTACAGGTTAATGCTAGTTAGGTTATACCCCTTAGTCAGCTAGGCTTCTGCTAAAATGAAATGCATTATATAAAGGGGCATTCATTAAGCACTAGCAAAGAACCTAGCTCTACAGGAGAATTCAATTATTTTAAATATTTAATATTAATTTTAATAGCTACCAGGCTAAACAAATGGTTCTAAATAATATCTAACATCAGTTTTAAATTTCTTTTTTAAAAAAGATATTTAATTGGATTACTGACTAGAGGTAAGCAGCAGCTTTCAGAGCCGAAATATAAGGCGATCTAAGGAAATAGTTTTTACCTTTGCCCTGTTCACCATGTGTTTTTCTGGCAAGTTCACCTACTTCATTGCTGCTACTGTCATTGTATCCTCCGCTGACATTATGAGTCAGTGTTGTCAGCTTTCCAATGGATACAAAAGACTCATGGTTAGACTTTGGGCAGAGTGCGGGGAATCTTGTGAGGGAAGGGGGGATGGGGAGACATGGAGGGGATGGGAGCTCCACAGGGAAAGCAGCAGAGCCAAGATTTCTGGGCCTAGGGGTCTTTTCTGGGACTGATACTCCAACCCAGGAACATGCATGGAGATGGCCTGGAGCCCCTGCACAGATATGGCCCATTGGACCTCAGTCTCCAACTGGGCTTCCTAGTAAGGGGAACAGGGACTGGCTCTGACATGAACTCAGTGGCTGACTCTTTGATCACTTCCTCCTGATGGGGAAGCAGCCTTACCAGGCCACAGAGAAGACAATGCAGCCAGTCCTGATGAGACCTGATAGGCTAGGGTCAGAGGGAAGGGGAGGAGACCTCCCCTATCAGTGGACTTAGAGTGGGGCCTGGGAGGAGATGAGGGAGGGAGGTTGGGATTGGGAGGGAATAAGGAAGAGGGCCACAGCTGTGATACAAAGTGAACAAACTGTAATTAATTTTAAAAAAAATAGAATAAAAATTAAAAAATAAAAATAAAAAAATAAGAATAAATATATAATTTCCAAAAGCTGACTTTTTAACTTAATTACTTCTTCATTTCTACTGAGTCCAGATCATAGTGAAATCTGCCGACTGTTTCTTACATCAGTAAGCTTCCTGATGCTCCTTAGATTGAGCACCTGGAGAAGCAGCTGCACTTCTTGGCTAAGATTCTATGGGTGAAGCCACTGAAGAGCCAGGCACATGCTCCCCAAGAGGCTTCCAGGGTCCAGTTCAGATGGTTCCTTCATGTCTTTGCCA